ATGGTCCGCAGGGGTAGGATGCAGTGGCAGACGCCTGGGAAATGGAAAGTGGTGTGAACTGTCCTGCGAACAGAGTCCAAGCTTGGGGCTGCCAAGTGTCCCTGCAGACTCTCTCCTAAAGAAATCAGAGTCCTTTAAAGGGACAAAGGCATTCAAAACATTTAGTACTTACATATATTACTATAGACCCCAAAATAATGTGTGCATACATAAATATCCATAACTATACTACTATATATCAATAAATCGCATTCACAAGTAGTGGGATAATGAATTACGACATGTTGGAGTGCTAACACAAGGTTAGCAGTTTGAACACCCCAGGTGCTCCTTGGGAGAAAGATGAGGCTTTCTGCTCCAATACAGGGGCAGCTTCCGAACCCCACGGGGCAGGTCCACCCCGTCAGGATACGTTGGAACTGACTTGATGGCAGTGGGTTTGGTGGATCTGTTTTTTAATCCAGATAATGGAATGTTTTTCAATCAACTAAAAATTAGGTCTGCGGACAAGTTTAGTAACTTGAAAACATACTAATGTTTAGTGAAAAGCCAAACAGAAAAACTACACACAGTATTTCCTCAATTATTTGATACCCGACACTCATGCATATAAGTAAACAGAATGAAAGAAAATACACCATATGGTCAGTTGGTGATCTCTGGGTGGTGAAGTTATGAGTAGTTCTTATTTTGTAAAACAAAACTCTTCATGTGAGTTACAATTTTTAAATATGTTTGAAAGCAGCTATTTCCGAAGACTCTATTTGCATCACACTCTGGATATTTTGTTCTGCCTTGCTTGGGACTTGGCTCATTAGTTGTCAACCTCCCTTCTTGACTCCCACCTCATCTATGTGCTCCAACCCCTTGGATCTAAAAATAAAGGCAAGAAGTTTCCTCTCTCCTGAGCCAATGCACACTGGGCACTCCTTCTTTGCTTCCTCTCACCACCTAGTTCATCAAAGGCTGGTCTGACGCCATCGCTTCCCTGCCCTCTTACCCATGGCCCATGCCAGCCCTGCAGTCTTCTCCAAAGCCAGGGGCTGGAGGAGTTGCTTGTTGAGCAGAGTTCAATGGCAGGTTAGCCAGAGTGCGATGGAAGAACACAGCCAAGCAAAGCTGGGAGAGCCCGAGTCAAATGAAGAAAGCAGCCGCCTTTAATGCAGCACTTTGGCGTTTCCAGGCTTGGTAACCTAGCAGTAGCATCCGAAGGCATCTTAACTGACAGGAGGAGAGATAATCAACATCTGTCCCAAGCTGATCATCCCCACGAAGTGGAAGTCAGACCTACCTCCACTCTCCAACATTTTACATTCTGGCCCTAGCCTTCCACTCTACCACACCACTCTCTTCTTCTCTCCTGGGTTAGATAATTCACTACAACGACCACAGACAAGACTCACAGTATGCGACTGATTAACAAAATGGATCCCATTGCTGACTCATAGTGATCCCATAGGAGAGCGTAGAACAATGCCACAGAGCAGCAGCGGTTCTCAACCTGTGGGTTGTGACCCCTTTTGGGGGTCGAACGACCCTTTCACAGGGGTCACCCAATTCATAACAGTAGCAAAACTACAATTACAAAGTAGTAATGAAAATAATTTTATGGTTGGGGGGTCACCACAACTTGAGGAACTGAATTAAATGGTCCAAGGGATTAGGAAGGTTGAGAACCACTGTCATAGAGTTTTCAAGGTTGTAACCTTGACAGAAGAGCACACTTTCACATTTTTCTCACAATGAGGAAAGTAGAAAGGTCCCAACTCAGCATCAGGATCAACTTGAAAGAATAGGGTCTAGGAGTTAGAATACAGTTTGTCAACCAGAATAGCTTCCAATTCTCAGTTCTCTCAGCCCGGTCTATGCTCTTCCACCGTTCACTGCTACTCAACCACCAAGCCTCCTGCCCAACGGGACTCAGCTCCCATGCTCCATGGGCCAGCAAACCCACCCCAGCCATCTTGCCCTGCTGCTGCTCATGCCACTGCCGCATCATCTCTAGTGTTACCGTTCTCCACTTCTCCTGGATCTAGAAGGGTCTCATCTCAGGGGCCTTGGCTCCAAAGGATGTTCCAGGTTCTTCTTGTTGATGATATCAAGGTCCTTCTCAACCACTCTGGAATCGGTACAAACCTACTCCTACCACCAAGACCACAAGCAAACTCTTGAATCCCTGTTTGAGTTTGATGCATCTCATTTGCACAGTGAACTGCGTAATCCCTTTGCAAGGTCATGGCACAGCAAATCATCTTGACAGAATTAAAAACCCAGGGTCAGAAAGGCTGCACATAGAGGAACCTGTAGAGCTGCAGGTTTGCAATGAAGATGTGACTCTTCTGGATGGAATAGATACAATGCAATGTTGGTGTGGTTGGTGTTAGGTGCCATGGAGTCAGCTCCGATCCATAGCTACCCTGTGCACAACAGAAGGACGCACCACCCTCCTAAGGGTTCCTGCGGCTGAGCCCATTGATGCAGACCTGGGGTCAATCCATCTCATCAAGGGCCTTCTTCTTTTATCCCACCCTTCCACTTTACCAAACATGAGGTCCTTCTCCTGACAGTATGTCCAAAGTATGTAAGATGAAGTCTTGCCATTTTTGCCTCTAAGGAGCACTCTGGCCTTACTTCTTCCAGTACAGATTGGCTTATCCCTTTAGCCATCCACGGTACTTTCTTCTCCAGCACCACGATTCAAATGCATTGATTCTTCTACAATCTTCCTTATTCAATGTCCAAATTTCACATGCAACAATGCAATAGTTTCCAAATAAATTTTACTGAGGAATACCAATTTGAGAAATGGAGCTCACTGAAGTATTATGATATAGAGTAAAATATTTTTAATTGCCCAGAATGATGATTCATTTACTTAACAAATATTCACTGCGTGTTTACTATCGATACGTCAGTGAACAAAGATCCCTGCCTCAAGAAGTTCATATACTTATCAGAAAGGCAGACTATAAGAGATAAATATAATTAATTACGTGATTGTATGGGACATTAGAGAAGAATAGATGAAAGGGAGGTAAGGGATAAAGGAGCTGGGAGTGATGGAGGCAGCATGAACGGGACCAACCCAGACCCAACCCACAGCCACTGAGTTGACGGTGAGCCATAGTGACCTCTAAAACAGAGTAGACTTGCCTTTGGGTTTCTGAGGCTGTAAATCTTTATGGGAGCAGGAAGTCTCATCTTTCTCTCTTGGAGTAACTGGTGAGTTTGAGCTGCTGACTTTGCAGTGAGCAGCCCAAGGTGCAACCCACTACGCCATCAGAGTTCCGGACAGCACCACAGATGGCTTGACTTTTCAGGTAGTGAACAAAAGATTGGAATAATGATGCAGTGAGGTTGCTGAGAGAGGCGAAAACTAAGCAAAAGGAACTGCTAGAGTGATGGCCCTGGAGCCAAGAACACGCTTGTATTTTCAAGGAATATGAATATGAGGCAAGCAAGGGG